AGATCAGTGGAAGCCCCGGACCACCTTGCAGAGGGAATTGGGAAATGGATTTCAGAGACTGTAACATGAGGGGCTGGCTGGTTGGGGTTTCTGTCCCACCCAGTACCCCACAGCCGGCAAGCCCCAAAAACAATCACACAGAGGACTCCATAAGATTATAAACTGATTGGCACATTAACTCAGGCTACTTATTAGCTCTTGTAGCTTGTATTAACCCATTGTTCTTATCTAGGTAGCCACATGGCTCGGTACCTTTCACAGCAGGGCAGGTCACGTGTTGCTTCTCGGTGGGCTGGGCAGGAATGGTGAAGGGAGGTTCCTGCTTCCCAGAATTCTACTGTTCTCATCACCCTGCCTCTACTTCCTGTCTTGTTGACCCGTCTAGTTCCTGCCTGGCCAATCAGTATTTATTCAAAATAAACAGATTGACAGAATACAGAATTCTCCCACACCAGGAGACTATGAGGGAACACACTGATAGGTGTCTTTTCGAGCAGAATCCTGAAGGCGTATGTTACAAATACCCAGGGCAAGTGTTTATCTGCAGAGGGAAACTGACTCTGCAGAGCACACTAGATGCTGAGGGAATGCAGAAGGAAGGCTGGTTGGTACAGATATCTTGAGTGGGAAGCTAGAGACTGTGCAGGATCTGTAGGTGATGGTGCGGGTGGCAGCCTGCGTGAGGTGGGAAGCCATTCCCCACCAACGAATTAATAGAGCCCTCTGCTAGTTCCAGAGCCAAAGGGTGGAGTTCAGATATAACCCAGGACAGCCCAGTTCTAAAAACTGTTGTGCTGGGACCCAGCCCCACTCCCAAAGGGAAAAAGCCAGAGTGCATTCTCCCTTTTAATATGGAAAACATTCAAGCACTTGTAAAACCCTTGGGAATTTTCCAAGCACTACATTTGTGACCTTGTAGGATCCTGAAGAGTGGAGTCAGGATCTGCCAAGCTTTGGATTCCTCCATCTTCCTGTCCAGTGCCAGTTTCCTGGCTGCGGGAGGGTGCTGTGCTCAGATTCCTAAGAAATCCCTCCTGCTGTCCCACCAGCAGCCCTGGCATTGGATGTGGATGACTCCCCTGGACTAATTCCTTCCCCAATTGTAGTTTTAAAAATTCAGTTTTTGCTGAGTGGTGGTGGTGCATGGTTTATTTCCAACACTTGGGAGGCAAAGGCTAGCCTGATCTACAGAGCGATTTCCAGCACAGCCAGAGCTACACAGAAACCATGAGTCCAACAAAAATGCAGTTCTTAAGGCCAGGAATGATGACGTGAACCTGTAATCCTAGCACTTGGGAGGCCCGGCCAAATGTTTTAAAGTTGACAGGTGGTGTACCCCTTTTGCTCCTGCACTCAGGAGGCAGGGGCAGGTGAATCTCTGAGTTTGAGGCCACTTTGGTCTACAGAGCAAGTTCCAGGACAGCTAGGGCTACACAGAAACCCTGTCTTTCAAACATTAACCAAAATAAACAGCTCCTGGGCTAACACTGGAGTTGCAGGTTTTCTCTTTTCAATCTGGATCAGGGACCTGGAGAAATGGTTCAGTGGTTAAGAGCAAATACTGCTCTTACGAAGAACTGGGTTCACTTCCCAGCACCCACATTTGGTGGCTCAAAACTCTTCATGAGGGTCCAAAGAGATGACTCAGCAGTTAGTACTGACTTCTTCCAGAGGACTCGAGTTCAATTCCCAGCAGCCACACGACAGCTCATACCTGTCTATAACTCCAGTTCCAGGGGATCCGTCATCCTGAAATAGATATATGTGCAGGCAAAACATCAGTGCACATAAAAGTGAATTAAAAGCAAACTCCCAGGAAGTCCAGTTCCAGGGCATCCTTGGACTCCTGTAAGCACGTTGCATCTAAACTAAGACAGCCTCATACACGTGTATAAATAAAAAGAATACTCAGGGTTTTTTCCAGATGAGGAGGCTGACATGGCGTCCTGGTCCTTTGCTTGCCCTAGCCAGGGTCACACAGAGCCAGTGTGTGTGAGTGTCTGGCTCCGGATCACCTCCCAGCCCAGTGGCTGTGCTTGGCAGCCGGCAGTCCTTGTGTCGGGCAGGCACAGCTGAACTCTGCCTGGCACAGGGAGGAAACGCAGTGAGTTGAGCAGCTGCACCCGACAGGCAGAGGCCTGGTTCTGTCTTGCCCAGAGCAGAGCAAGCCGGCTCAGAATCCTTCCATACATGGCCTGAGCAAGTATTCTGTTATCAGAGTATGGGAATTCTGGGTGGAGCTGGTTACCAGAAGTTTCTAAATCAGTAAGAGAAGACAGCGTAGCATAGTGTGGGCTTGTCCGTACTGGGGTTTGAGCCCTACCTGTCACAGCCCAAGTTACTGCTCAGAGCTGTAGTTTCTCAACTATCAAATGGGAAAGACACCTGCCTCCAGATTGTGCTGATGAGTAGAGAGAGTTCTTAGCACAGCACTTAAAGTGTAATTAGGGAACGGAAGCCATTATTAGCGGGTTGTGAACTTGACAGTCATAGACTAGGCAGAAAGGTCATGTGTGTGACAGCCTGGCAACGTCATGGTAGAGCAGGGACCTGCAGCCTCCAAAGACCAGTTAAAGCTTTATCCCGTCTGTTTCTCTAAGGAGAAATGGAGAGTCGGGGCTTGAGTCCTCAGTGGCATAGCGCATGCAGGGCCTTTGGGGGACCCTGGGGGTCCACTCCTGCACTAAAGGAAGGGCCGGTGCAGAGGCCATTTCACAGAGAGGTTCAGGCACTCCCCAGAGTAGCCCAGCAACAGGCACAGGAAAACCCAGGGGCTTCAGAAGTTACAGAGGACGGAATTTGGCTATGGGGATTGCTAGGTGGGAGAAGCCCAGTTTTCTGACTCACAGTGATGATGGAGCTGGTGAAGTGGGGACAGTGCCAGGGCAGGAGGGAAGTGAAGGCACCTGCGGGGGAGCCTGTGTGAACCTGGCAAGCCTGGCAAGGTTCCAAGGGCATAACAACTCGGAGCGAGCCATTAGCGGGGGCTAGAGTCCTGAGCTCCAGACTCCCAGACTAGAGTTGGTTTCTCAGCACAGACAGCACAGAGCATCCTCTAAAGGCCTTGGGAACCTGTCCTCAGTTCTTCCCCTTTCTTCACTCTCTTTCTCTTACACACTGTACAGTGAACCCGAAATGGGCCTTTCCTTCCCCTATTGCCTAGACTGTAGGGTGGCTTGAGACTGCTCTTCTGCCAAGTAAGGCGAGTAAGGAAGATACCAGCCCTGTCGGTCTCGAATTCTGGGTGTCATTTAGGATCTATGTGAACCTGAGAGCACTGGAGAAAGAGGTTTCTTGGTAGCAGTGGCCCAGGCAGTGGACATATCGTCTTGAATGAGCAGCTGATAACTCCTTGAGGAATATGTGAACAGCGACACACCAGGAGGTGGGTGGTGACACACGCTTTTAATCCCAGCACTCAGGAAGCAGAAGCAGGCAGATCTCTGGGTTCGAGGCCAGCCTGGTCTACAGATAGAGTTCCAGGGCTGTTACACAGAGAAACCCAGAAACCCTATCTTGAAAAGTCAAAAAGAAAAAAAAAAGGAATTAGCATATCAATATCAGTCTAACTGATGTGTGCAATTCCTATGTAGAATGTGGAGGCATAGAACAAAGGCCATAAAACCATGGATGGTGGGCCGCACTCTGGGAGGGGAAACAAGACTGCCTGCCTGACTTCATGTCAGTGGCTGCTCATTTTCCACCCAGCCTGCACTGCAGTCAGGTCAAGAGCTAACTTCCCGGGATGGGGAGAGGTTCCAGGAAGAGGCTGAGATGGAGGCAGGGGACCGGCCAATGTCAAGGTCCAAAACCCAACCAGCAATTTCCTGAGGCTTTCCGGAAGGAGGTGGGGAAAGGAAGCCATAGTGTGTCCTGGGGCCTGCGGCTCTACATTCCTGTCCAGCCTGTTGTGAAGCCAGGCTTTTGCTCATTTCTGCCCCCACCTGCACCCAACCTCCATGTCCTCTGAAGTTGGTGAATCCTGAGAGGTGGCCTCCACTAATCGTAGCTGGGAACTCAAGGAGCCTCCAGGGTTCCCGTTCTGATGTGGTCCCTTCCAAACCAGGAAGCTTCTGTGTTAACTTTCTGAGCCTCTGCTATCTACCCAGGCAGTCAAATGGAGCCTCTTGTTCACCATCCCCCTGAACGTCCCCCCATTAGCCTAACTTCCTTTCCCCCCAGTTAGCTGGTGTCCTGGGTCACCTGGGGCTGAAACCCACCCTAACTCCCTGCTCTTGGACAGAAAAGTATCACTTTTTGTTTGTGACAGGAAGAGCTACTGGCGCTGTGCTACACGGGGACAGGCAGTTGGGAAGCAAGCAGCCCTTTTCCTGTGTGTGACAGCTCTTTCCTTAGCACTTAGTCCTTGGAGAGGCCATCTTCCGGTGTCAGGAAAGCTCAGGAACCATTTCCGCCCTGCCTGCCTTTGACTTGCAGAGGTGCGGGTTATATAGAGAGGGAGAGGGCTCCTCTGAAGCATAATCAGGCAATTCGCCGTACGGACCACCTCTAAGGCAAGTACTTTGACTCATCCTCCAGGTGAATTTTTGCGCTAATCTACTGAGACGGGAGCCCATCTCTTTGGGCCCTGCTGGCCAAATGGCAAGTAATGCCATTAGCAGCTACCACTGCTGAGAGGGAGATGAGAAACTACTAGGAGGCCTAAGTTGGAGGTTTTGGGGATGTCTGTCCAGGCTTGGCCTTTTACATCCGAAGGCAGGACTTCAATGTAACTGGAGCAGCCTAGGGTGGCTCCTGCTCACCAGCAATCCTGAAGCTGGCTGAATGGTGGCAGCCAGCTATGCAGCAGTGACCTAGACACAGTATCTGCTGTGATTTACAAGAAATACATCTTTTTTCAGGATATATATATATATATATATATATCCTGAATATATATATAACTATATATATAGTTATATTTAGTTATATAATTAATATAATTATATAATATATAATGAATGTCTGTTTTGTTTTGAAGACAGGGTTTCTCTGTGTAGCCCTGACTATCCTGGAACTCACTCTATAGACCAGGCTGGCCTCAAACTCAGAGATCCACCAGCCTCTGCCTTCTGAATGCTAGGATTAAAGATGTGCACCGCTGTGCCCAGCAGGAATACATCTTGATGGTGAAGAAGACTCTTAGACCAAAGCTGAGTCCTGACGGCATCTGCTGTAGGTTTCTTTCCGACCCCAGAGTCCTTATGAAGCAGGGCAATGCATGTCAGTGACCCCAGAGTCCTTACGAAGTGTGTGGCAATGCATGTCAGTGACCCCAGAGTCCTTATGAACGGTGACAATGCATGTTCGTGACAAAGCACATGCAATATCTGGACTACAACTGATGCCCAGTTAAGCTGTTTGTATTATTTATCATCTTGGTCCAATGGGCAAACACTTGTGTACAAAAAAAAAAAAAATACCATCCGGTGTGGGTGACCCCCCAAGTGCGTCTTCTGTGGAAGTGAGAGGATCCTCAAGTACTTTACCGTCTTCTCATCCCGCTACTCATCGTCCAGGACAGCTTACAGCCCTATCTTCCACACCGGCTGTCAGTTCCTCCGGGGTAGGCGTGTGGAACATCCCCTCTGGGGCCCTTCTCCTTCCGAGGGTGAGTCCTGTGAGAAGACCTGAAAGCCTGGCTGCAGGGAGGAGGCGGCATCTGGGTCGGGTCTCAGAGCCCAGACGCAGTTTGGGAGAGCAGCAGTAGGCATCTCAGAACAGCCAAAAGCAGAGAGACAGCCTGAGACTCAGCAGTGTCCGCTGAAAGGACGGGTTGGGCTCCCAAACCAAGCACATTTGTGCCCCCAACAAACCTCTTCTTCCTCTGCTCAGTTCAGTGCGTAGGGGGAACTTGCTTAATTAGGGTATTGGCCTGTTAGGGCTTTCAGTAGGCTCTTTGACCCAGGGCAGTCCCCGATGACAGCATGCACCCAGTGACAGGCAGCACAGGCTCCTCTCTTCTCTGCAGAGCTTAGTATAAGGGTGGCCGCATTTGCCCAGTCCCAGGAAGAGTTTCTAGAATGTAGTAGGTGAGGACAGGAAGGTCTGAAAGGCGAGGCCTATGTGGGATTCCAGGGCTCAGGCTTCCTGTGAGCAAGTGTCCCAGCGAATCCTGAGCTGCCCTGGCCCAGGACGATGGTGAAGACGGAGAAAGCTGTCACCCCGCCACTGAGAATCCCATGTGCCCACTGCTGCTGGCCCTAGCCCTGCTCCTGGAACTCTACAAGGCTCCCATTGTTCACTGCTCCACCAGGCTGACCCCCAGGGAGCAGCTCTGAGCTGGGGGCCTGGGCAGGGCCTCATTCTTGGGACAGCTTGGGTGGAAAAAACTGCAGGTCACACCAGAAGCAGCTAAGGAACTTAGGAAATCCTAGGCTGAGAACCCTGGAATCTGAGGGTCAAGGCCTTTTAGAGAATGCAGTGCACAGTGGGCCACAGGTGGTCTGTGGTCTGGTCTGTCCAGCCCAGGGGGATAATTGTGTGCACAAAGCCCACTCCCTCCTCTCTCTCTCTCTCTCTCTCCCCCTCCCTCCCTCTCTCTCTCTCTCTCTCTCTCTCTCTCTCTCTCTCTCTCTCTCTCTCTCCCCCTCCCTTCTTCCCTCTCCCTCTCTCCCTCTTCCTCCCCACTCTCTCCCTCCTTCTCCCCCTCCCTCCCTCCCTCCCTCCCTCTCTCTCCACCTATCTTTCTCCTTCTTTCCCTTTTCTTATAAAGCTGCACCTGCCCTTCTCTGAGTTACCCAGACCTCCCATCTTCCCAGTGATTTGCCTGAGGCCCTGGGTGGCTGAGTGGGCATATTTGTACTTCCCTGTCTGGGCGCTGGCTTTATTTTCAAATCAGAGCCCTGGCATCAGAGTGTGCCTTGGTACTCTAGTGTGGTCTAGTGCTTGGGTAGAGTGAAGTCCTGGGTAGAACTGTCAGCACTGCAATAATAACAATTATGTAGAAAGTGTCATCTAACTGAAACCAGTGTTACACAGACGTGAAAAAGCTAAAATGAATTTGTGTGTGTGTGTGCCGTACGAATGTGTTCATGTGGGTCTGTGCACGTGTATGGGAGGGTGCTTATTCACATGGGTGCAGGGCCATGAGCACTTTCTACCTTATTTTTTAAATTTCTTTTTGTTACATTTATTCATTTATTTTGTGTGTGTGGGGGGGGACGTTGCACCTGCTCCAGCAGGTGTGGAAGTCAGGAGAACTCAAGGGTGTCAGTTCTTGCCTGCCATGAGAGTCTCAGGGATTGGGCTCAAGTCACCAGGCTTGTCAGCAAGAGCCTTTATCCACTGAGTCCTCTCTGAAGGGACTCTGGCCAGCTCAAGCATGGCAAACATGGCTCTGGCAGGCCTTGCCCTTCTCTCTCCTTCCCTCCACCTTGCTAAAATCCATTAGATTACATTCCTGAAGCCAGTCACCAATGTGACTCTTATGTGACTACTTCCTCCTCCTGAGACTGCCGAGGTCCAGCTATCAAAGTATCAAAGTCCTGCAATCAAAAGCACCCTTGCGCTCACCTCATAAACATGTCCAATTAAAACGAAACACCTTATCCTAACACGGGCTTTCCCCTTCTACCTTTATAAACCATCATTTGTCTGTGGGCCATGTCTGTCTCCCCTCTACAAAGGCAATTCTTTGTGCCTCCGGGACAAAAGCCCCTTCCCCTCTCTCTTACTCCCTTTTCTCCAACTATCTCCTGTCTTTGTCTCTTATTCCCTGCCTTTTGTCCCTCTGAGGCAAATAAATCGCCTTTGTGCTGAGCCAAAGCCAGGTCTTTCACTTTCGCTGACTTCACCTTAATTTATTTGAGATGGGGTCTCTACATAGCTAGGGCTGTCCTGGAACTCAGAGAGATCCTTCTGCCTTTGCCTCTGGAGTGTTTGGGTTAAAGGTGTGTGCCACCACAACCAGGTTTCTCTTTTTTCTTTCTTTCTTTTTCTTTCTTTTTCTTTCTTTCTTTCTTTCTTTCTCTCTTTCTTTCTTCGAGACAGGGTTTCTCTATATAACAGTCCTGGCTGTCCTGGAGCTCACTCTGTAGACCAGGCTGGCCTCGAACTCATAGATATCTACCTGCCTCTGCCTCCCAAGTGCTCGGATTAAAGGCATGTGCCACTACCACCCAGCTTTAATTTTTTTTTTTAAACATGCTCTCACTATGCAGCTCAATCTGGCTGTGAATTTGCAGTCCTCTGACCTTAGCCTTCCCCATAGCTAGAACTGTGCCTGGCTTCTCAAGGCTTCTTTTTAGACCACT